TGATCTAATATCCGGAAAAATCCCAAATCCGGAATCGCCGAAACCCCGATGAGTCCGGATTGCAGACTTTGTACTGTAGTGCAAAAGGGGTTAATAGGAATTTAATTAAAATTATCCACAATTATAAAAGAAATTATGATTTGCCCTGGAAAAATTGCATCAATAAATTGGCTATGCAGTTAGGTCAACAAAACTTGACACAAAAAGGAAAACACTCAGAGGTTTTTTTTTTTTTTGAGGCAAGAAATTTAGTATTAACAATTGTAATCAATAAATTGTACTTTACGGAAAGGAGCGCAGAAAAATTTAAAATAAAAAAAAAAATTCAAAAATGAGTTGAGACAATAATTCAGATAAATCTTGAATCAAGCAAAAACATTACTAGCATAAAAAAGGCATGAAGAAAATTTTAAGAAAGTTGAAAATTAAACTGCATCATAAGCCAAGGGTTAGAAAGTTTTACCTGAAGTTTGAAGGTCCTTTTGTGATTAAATGGTTTAGAGATGCTTTAGTTGACCTCAAAAGGAAAGATGGTTAAGCAGCCACTGTAAACATTGACTAGATCAAACAATTTAAACAGGCAAACATGCTAATAATTAAGGAAGTTTAAGAGGAAGCCTTGAAGGAAAATCACCCAAGCCTATAGGCAGTGAATTATCCTTGTGCACTTTCCGCCACGTATATTCGTTTAAACACAAATCCAAGTGTTTTCAGGTAGTTCCACGTATTTCTTGTTTCTCCATTTTGACAAACCCCACAATCATTTAATATTTTGTGTATTTGTACCAGTTTCAGGATCCACAAAATTATATTGGTGATTCACATTATAGTGTTGGAATCCCACTGCTTCCAATTCATCAGTTTTGTAACTTTTATATGAGTCTGAGAAAATTTTAGTTCCTTCTGAAATGTTGTTTCATTAGAGTTACTGCATTTCGATCAAGAACCTTTATGATGAAACACTTGATCTCTCTGCAGAGTCCCACAAATATCCACTGTTCTGGAAGAATACGACCGACGTAGTTTTTGCACTTTGTAAACAAGGCTTTCATCTATCCCTATAATTTTGTTCGGACATCCAATTTGTTTCGAATCACATTGTAGAAGGCTATGAGTGCACACTTCCCTCATATATTTGTTCCAATCAACAATTGTCTTTCCTGTTAAATCCAGCTGCTTTTCTCCCCATTCAACTGATGTTAATTCTTCCGACCAGCAGTAAATAAACTGGAGGGCAATCAGAAACAGGAGTTTTGAACCCTCCAACCATGTGCCTTTTCGAATAGCTACTCATTTATCACATCCCTTTACATTGCATCACCACTGCTTATCAGTTTTGATATACAATGGCATATTGTGTCTATTAATGCACATTTTCTTAGAAGAAATGATTCCATACTCTTCAAAATATCCCTCTGCACTCTCTTCGGTACTAAGCAAACCCCAAATTTGAATCATTTACAGCAGAGTAGAAAAAAACAGTATATTTCAACATGCTAAAGAAAACCAAGTCGTATAGTCAAGGATTAAAAATCATTTGCGGTTATTGGCGCAGAAGCAACATTTTGGTGATAATATCGGGTTTGGTGAAAATGGTCGATGGGATAATCCCAAATTACCCAAAAATAAAATAGTATGCAGAGGAGTAATTAAAAATTACAGGATCCTGCCATTAAGAAAAATGTGCATTAGCGGGCACAATAAACATCTTTATATAAAAATGAATAAACAATGAAGTAATGTAAGAAACTGACAATCAGTTTAAGATTTCTAATGCTATAACCTGTAACTTATACTTCTTGATTATCTAATGCACTAAAGAACAAACAGTTCTTTCAATTTTCTGCCTGAAGACTGGTGCAAGGTCTGATGGAATTTCTGTAAAATTTCACGTCTGACAGGATTTCATGATGAGATAAGTTGTTTTACTTTCATATGTTGGCTTTTATATCTGAAAAGCACTTCTTTGTTTCATAATAATTATCAGCTTTTGATATTCAAAATAATAATGCTTTTATCATTTTAGACATGAAAATTTTTCAAATTATTTGGTTTTTCTAGCGTGAAGTACATTTTTTATATGCTCGAAGTACTCAGAATTTTCACATATCTGGCATTTGATAATTCTGAAGATTTTCAGATAGTTTAGCTTTTACTGTACACTTAAACAGTTTTGACATTTTACTTAGCACTCCATACCAGCTGCCCGTTTATTCGGACACTTCAAAGTTCCCGAAACTGCCATAAGAAAGAAATACTTCATTATACTGCAAAATGAACTTGCTCTTTTCTACTCGATCAGCAGTATGTCAACAGTGAAATGAAATGGCAGTTTATACCTCGACTCTACTTCAAATATCTTGCCTTAATATTTAAGACAAAGTTCAAGATGCATGTATATGAATTAAAAGCATCAGAAAACTTCATTAAGAACATATATATGGCTTCACCATCAAAAACATTAATAATTTCATGTGAAAAAAAGGCCAAAACTTTTTATTTACTTATTTTTTTAAACTCTATGTGGTTAGACTGCACTAATAATCATAAAATCTGCATCATCTCCTGTACATCATATCTACAGTATCTTACAAATATTACATTCGTGAGACATATTAAATTGCAAGTGTTACAGCATTTTTAGCCGCCCTTATTTTTCATCTAATGAGCATGTAAACTATACATTTTATGCATTAGTAGTACACGAGTTACTTGTAAACGCACAAGTTTATTTTCGATTCAAAGTTTGCATGTCACATAATTTAGCTGAAAGCCTCCCAGGACGAATTTTAAGTTAAAAGTTATTTTTTACTTGGATGCATATAACAAATAAAATTATAGCACATCCAAGAATGTAAATATTTTATACAGCAAGCTTTTCCCATAAAATTTTGATTTTGAAATTTGAAAGCATATTTTTATTATGGATTTTTTTTTAAATATCAAGCACTTAGAATTTCATTTATGAAGACCATTAATTATGCCAAACAAGTATTAATTTAGAAGTCAAAAAACAAAAAGCATTATATTTCGCAGGACTGGTTTCAATGGTTCGGTAAAAACCATCAAAACTAGTCCAGTGAAAATTTGAAAATATAATGCTGATTTTTGTTGTTTTACTTCTAAACTAATACCATTAAATTTGATAAAAGTAGAAACTCATAAATATGAAATTGATTGATAATGACTTTCAAAATTTGTTGTTCTGCCTAGTACAAGATAAATAGATTTAAATACACTCAATCATAATGTTTTTATATTAGAACCTAATGCCAATAAAATAAATACTTTTTATAAAGTACAAAACATGAGAAATATTTAGATGATTTTATAAAAAAGCATTTTTCAACTGATGTGTCAAAAATTAAATTGGAAACAAAAATACAATTAGAATTTGGCTTGCAGACATCAGAGTCGGATATGTAAAAAATACGTTTCACTTCGAGGTGGTGTTTTGTAGTAGTTCTTGAGAAATAATGACAAATCAATAACAAAAAAATAAAAATTATTTTCAAACTAAAAGTTTCTTATGAACAGGATGCAAATACCTGAAGTATTATTCAGTAAATGGTCAGCAAGTCGAAAAGAATTTGTGACAGCAGTCACAAATTCTTTTCGATTCTATTGTTAAAAAAAAAGTGTAAAAGTGTCTATGCAACTTTTTACAGCAAGATCTTAGCTTGAATAGTTTGAAAAGATAATCAAAATTAGACTCTCTATGCAATATTCTGGAGTTCAACTTTTCATACCGATTGAAGATACATTACAATAGTTGTAGACGTTTCATCTAATTCCTCAAAAGTATAAAATAAAATGAATAATTAGTAGGAAAGACAGATTCAAGAAACTTAATTTTTAATCAAGGATTAAGTATAATCTATTCAATTCTAAAAATTAATAACTTTAGTGGCAGAAAATCTACAATGTCTGAGTTGAAAACATGCAACATAATTTATGGATCATTCATCCCACAATGGCTGACAGCAATAATGTAAACTATACAGCAATAGTGGTGTGCACTACAGAGCTATGAGTATTGCAACAGCATTTGGCAAACTGATAGGCTACATCTAGGGAACAGAACTCTTCAGACTGTATGGTCTCAAGAGAACTCTAACCATTGAAACTTAAAGGACTGAGACTATTTCTTGTAGTTCAGACTTGGATTCCAAGTTCCTGGCAGCTATGAACAAAGGTTAAAGTCAATACTTCCAACAACTCCGCACTATCCATATAGTGACAATTATTTGGTGCTATCTCATTCTTAGTTTATCAGGACTGCTTGCTGTCCACATGGAACATGCAATATACATTATGCTGGCAGACATGAATGCTGGAGAACTGGACTAGACTGCTTACAGTACTGACTTTTATTCTTAGCCCATGTGGGATGAATTAAAACAGTTGCAAGCCAGGCTGTGTCATGTCACACCAATGACAGAAATGTTTACTGCTGTTTCGGGTAGAATGCCATTCAATTTTGATAGCAACACTCCAAAAAATCAGACTAATCAGTCCTCCTGACAGAGTGAAATCTGACTCTGCAATTAAAAAATAGATCCAAACTATAATAATTTCTTGTTTATTTCCAAGTGAATCAACATATCAAAGAATGCAGACTCTTTAATGTAATGTATTTTAATAGAAAAGCTATAAAAAAGTCCAAACCGAAAATACACAAAAGGTTTTTTTTAACTCCAAAAATTATTAATTTTATAACTAATAACTAAATTAATTTTTGGCAAAACTAAAAAAAGTTTTGGCTTTGCAAAAAAATAATTTATTTTTGTCAAACTGTTGCAAATTTTAAAATTTTCAATTAAACTTGGTGATCAAAAAAATTCACAAAAAAAAATTGACAAATTCACAAATTATAAATGAACCTAGATTTTTTTTTTAAAAAGGCATTTACAATTTATTTTTACTACTCAGTAATAATGATAACAAGAAACTGCAGCACTAAAAAAGTCACCTTAATTTTTTTAAATGCCTTTGTTTACCTTTTTTGAATCTTGGCTCGGCTTGGACAGTTCCGAAGATATGGTTGAGTTAAAGCATTCTGAGCAGTCACAAATGCTTTAGTTTCTTCTGAATCTGGGTCTTCTAACCACCTATATGGATCACATACCTAAAAATAAAAATGCGTGCTTTATCAGAAATCTGTCATTATTTTAGAAGCCTGGCAAATTTATACATAAATAATATTTAAGATTATTATTTATAAAACTAAACTTCAGAATAAAAATTCAGAGCAAGCATGTTTTAAAATAAAATATTTAGAAAAACTTCATTCATCATTATTATTAAAGAAAAAAGCGGTCATTCTATGCCAGGATATTTACCTACATGGCTTGAACGCTATTTTCTTTTAATCTGAGGAGCAGCTTTTTCTATACTACCTTATTACTCAAAATATTTACTCTTTTTTTCTCTTTAATGTTCTAGATATAAGCTTAATAAATGAAACATCAGAAAAATAAACCATAAAATTAGTATTTATGCTAGCAAATATACCTGCTAGCAAGAACCATTAGCTGATACATTAAGAATATACTAATAAGAGCTCTTGATAAGTAGATCGGAAAGTCTTGTAACTTATAAAAGGGCAATATTTGTTTTCTATTATTACTTGCAATACTATACTAGTGAATATTACATATACTCTTCCTCCCCCCACAAAAAAAATTCATCTTAAGCAGTCATATTAAGTACCAGTCCAATAATTTCTTTCTATTTTGAAACTCGTGAACATACCATAAGAGCTTGAATTGTTGTTGCATCTGCATGGATTGCATTTTCAGCAAAATCAGAAAATGCCTTAACGTTGTACGTTGTTTTTGGTTTTATATGAATTAATTCTGAGCACTAACACAATAATCGATTGATATGAATGATATATGACATAGAACTTAACGACGTTATAACCGAATCGCTAATCCGTGTATCCAAATATTACACAATCCAAATATTCACTGAAGATTGGAAAAAACCACCATATAATTTTAATCACTGGTAACACATAAAAAACACCAAAACAGAACACTATTTCACTGTATATGGACAATTTCAGCAAGCTGCATCCGATATTTTCTTTAAACAATGCATCCAAAATTCAAAATTTTGGTGTGGTCTTGTAGAGCAGGTATTTACAAACAAAATAAGCAGAAATTTGGCATTACTGCGAAGATTTCTCATTGATTCAAAATAAACTGCCCTCTTATTCTTTTCCATCATTCTCTTGCCATATTGAAGCTCTCCAGTATTTAATTCCGATGGTGAATTGCAAAACCGTGAAGTAAACATTTCTGAAAATAAGATGGAGTCTGAAATTATTTCACCATTAACTGACGTGTTCAAATTTGGCAGCTACCCAAAGCGCGCAAGCCTCAACCTCAAAAGTTCATTTATAGTATAATCATCCAGTAAATTATATGCATGGAATGTCAATCTCTCGAACAACAATTCGGTCTAAACTTTTCAGAGGTTTATACGATGGCATTAAATTTTTCGACAGTTCTTCTGATAATTTAATAGAATCTTTTTTAAATGGCATAGAAGAATTATTTCAATGGAATGGTGTCCGCCGATAACATCGCGGAGAAAACAACGCAAGGCAAAAACGTTGTGTTACAAAACATCGTGGGAGAAAACATCACAGTTCTAAAACATCGTGCTACAAAACATCATCGTCGAAAATAAAGCGGTTCAAAAACTTCGCAGTTTAAAAACATCGTCATCGAAAATATCGTGGTAAAAAATAAAGTATCTACAAATCATCGCATGACGATAACTTCGCAGACATGCTTTTTTCAGGTTTTAATAATTGTAAATGGATATTCCCATAATGATTTGTGAGCGCAGTATGTAAAGAAGGATAATTTTTATTTTCACATATTTTATTAACTAATAAATGTTTGCTGACAAGGTAAGAAGGAAACTTAAGCATAAAAAATTAAATGCAAATTATAGATTATACTTTTCATGAAAAATTACCAGTAAAAACTTTATAAAAAAGATTTATTAATGGCCTTTGTTAGTTAACTATGTCGGTTTAAAATTCTATTAAGTGCTATAAGTTGCATTAATTTTCTATGCTTAAGTTTTATTCTTATTTTCTCAGCAAAAATTTATTAGTTAATAAAAAGTATGAAAGTAAAAATTATCCTTCTTTCCATCTTGCGATCACAAATCAATATGGGAATATCCATTTACAGTTATTAAAGCTTGAAAGAAGCATGTCTGCAATGTTATCGTCATGCGATGATTTGTAGATACTTTATTTTTTAATACAATATTTTCGACGACGATGTTTTTAAACTGCGAAGTTTTTGAACCGCTTTATTTTCGACGACGATGTTTTGTACCACGATGTTTTAGAACTGCGATGTTTTCTCCCACGATGTTTTGTAGCACGACGTTTTTGCCTTGCGTTGTTTTCTCCGCGATGTTTTCGGCTGTAACCAATGGAAAAAAATAACGAACAATGTTCACAAGATTATATTTACAAAAAAATATTTATCCGGCTCGCTAAAACATTTGTAATGTCAATATCGCCAAATCCCGAGTGTACCGTATACTAGGATTAAAACACGCATTTTTAAATGCATGGAGATGGACAAAAACTTAACAAACAGTTCATCAGAACTTTTATAGGTAATGAATTTCGTATTTTTGTTCACACTTTCTCTAATTTTCATGTCAATTATAATTAGTAATTTATCAAAGCCATTAATTTTGTCGTTTTCCATTAAAAGTGTTAATATTTCTTTCTCCTTTTCCATTAATTTTTCCGTTTTGGTTTTCCTGACTCTCGGTGATTTTCCGTCATTTTTGGACAGACGTTAAATATGGATGGATATGTAACGTCTTTTAACATTGGACGTTTTCTCGGAATTCTTAAAATCGCCCCATTTATAATTGTGAATACATTCATTGTTCACAAACAATCATATTTTCAAGAAAATGGTACTTTTTGCTGTCTAAAAATGTTTCATATTATGCCAGCATATTAATTCAAATAAATTCGTCCTTACTTCAAAAATAATAAATAAAGTCATACTTCAGCAGTAAAATAATTGCAAACATGTGATTTGCACTGATTTTGAAAATATGATTTTTTTTAAATATATAAAATGCGTAACTTAATAACTTACTTTATACATTTGTTTCACTTTTAAATATTTAGCTATAAAATTTATAAAAAAATATTTTAAGTATTAATTATTTTAACAATAATTTAGCACGTATTTTTAGTACTAATTAAATTTAATAATTCAAGCATTTATATCAAATTTATATTTCATTAGATGAATCTACCTTAGATTAATATATTTAGATAAAATAAAGTAATGAAACATTGCAAAATAAATCTTATGCAGACTTCATATCTTGAAAGGGCAGATTTAGTCACTTTTCATTCTAAAAGTAATGCTGATGAACTATGAAAAAGATGCTAAAATGACCATGTCTAAAAGCGGTCATATCATGACATTTCAGCGATGTTGGCAAATTGCCAAGATGCAATGGCAAATATTTAGCATTTTCGCAACGTTGTAAAGACGTCATAAAAGTTACCACAATCACTTTGCAACCTCTCAGACCAGTTTGCAACATTGTTTACTTGGGCAGGACTGCAAGACAAAAATCGGATACTTTGGCACCTTCCGCCACCTCACAGCACATAGCTGACATGGAGTTGTTCTCATATCTGCCTCGAACCATATAACATCAACAAAGTCATGTGAAGCGGTGTCGCAGTTTATCATTATGGCTGACAGCTGGCTGGTATTGCAAAGCGTAAGCAACAAATCTTGCTTCAGTCTGAGCAGATCATGATCATGTCCATGTGTGGAAGGGCCATGGCCAGCAGTCCCTATCAGCCTTTATTTTACAGAACTATACAGCCATTACCCTTGATGTAATGATGACAGGTGCTATCTCTTAAGACAGCAGGTCAAGTTAAACCATCCTGCATTCAACTTTAACAGCTTGACGATATGTTAATGACATCCTGTGGATGTTTTAGTTACCCTTCAGCACATGCCATCCTGGAGTCATTTTCCAACAGGATAATGGTAGACCTCATATGGCTCACATAACACTAGACTGTCTCTGAGTTGTTGATACTGTGCCTTGGCCAGCAAGTTCACCAGACCTTTTGCCAATCGAATATGTATGTGATATGGCAGGCTACCAGATTCAGGCATCCCAAAATGACACAGATTTGGAGCAACAAATAAGAAATGCTTCGCAAAATGTATCACAGAATGATATTGGGAATCTTTATCACTCCTTAACCCAACATTTACAAACATGCATCATCAACATGGGAGGTTTCACTAATTACTTGAATGAAGCATTCAATGTGCAACTGCTATCCACTTAATTTCATTACATATGCATTAGCTTTACATGTATTTCATTTCAATAAAGAGTCACTTTCTTTATGGTATGTTTTAAACCAAATTCACTTACTAAAAAGGCATAATTAAAATAGGGTATTTCAGGAATATCAGAATTAATTGATCAGCACAGAGCATAATGAGTTAGACAACCAAAATTAAATATGTTACACATAAATACTAATTTTTTTCTTCTACATTAAAATATAAAATACATTAAGTCAAAGGAAAAAATTCACTGATAGTGTGAACCTCCAAATCAAGACATTCTTTATCAAATAATAAAATGAAAAGCTAGAAAGCATTCATATATACATCAAGAAGAAACTAAAAAGCCAATACATAGGAATACAGATGAAGCATTCAGTTGAAAATAAACTGTGTATAAATCTATGATAAAAAATATTTAAAAAAAAATCTGAAGGTCAGATTTTAGATTACACCCTAAAAGGCCATTTTTTTAACGTTTTGTGTGTTACCTTTATTTTTTAGATATCATGCTCTTTACAATTGTTTTGTGTGTTACCTTTATTTTTTAGATATCTCCCAATTCAACAGCAATATCACAGATTTAAAAACAGCATATCTTTATAATTTCCGATACAGTCTCACGCACTAGAGATAAAAAAAAATTTTCCATACAGTGTTGCGATTGCTTGCTTCGAAATTGTTGAGTTCATTAATCAAAATTTTGTTAAAGTTTCACAAAATTTGAAATAGATAATAC